TTGCTTTCTTTTTGTTAAAAAAATCTAGTTTTCAATATTTTAGTGTACCAGTTCGAAAGAGTTATCAATTTTATTGTCCAAAAAAGGTTTTGTTTCGCTGTTGATTTGCGAATGACCGTGCTAAGTTCAGAAAATGAAAAAAATATTCTGTAGTCAAAACGCGTCCCACATGGAAAGGAGATTTTATGGATATACACYTATTTCGAAAATCGTTGTCGCACCAAGAGCCTCAAGTAACAAGCCAAGGCTCCAGAGAACGTCGGTACTTTTAATTATAATTGATTTATTCTTGGTTCATGCAAGTGGCTGTAGCTCTCCACTAATTATCATCTCAAGCAGCCTTGCTTGGAACAATTTGTGAAGTCAATAAATGAAAATGCACCATGAATAAACTAATTACAGCTAAAAGTACCGGCGTTCTCTGCGGTCTTGGCTTGTTGCTTGAGGCATTTGGTGCGACAACGATTTCTGAAATAGGTGTATAGCCATACCAACTGCTACGCTACATACGCTACCATACGAAGCTTCATCATTGGACGTCACTGGAAGTATGGTTCCGCTTATTTATATTGAATTAGCCAATTCAAATAATTCACTGAAGAAAACAGCCTTCTCAGCAGTTGAATATAAATATCTAGTGCGCATGCGCATTCTTCCTTTTATTCTCTCGGAAGGAATGCACTCCACCAAGAAACAAACCTCTTCTCAGGCCCCGTCCACACGTATCCGGAAATTTTTGTTTCCGCAAATTTTTTTTTGCGGATACGAAAATGTTCGCGTCCACACGCAGTGTATTCGAATCGTTTTCGTGTCGCTTTCGAATCGTTTTCACTGTCCACACATATCCGGAAATTTCTTGATCCACCCTGATGCACGCTAGTGCCTAGTCCCTTTAACGGATAGTTTTTTGCTTGTTGAGCATGCGCAAAATCGTGTTTACGTCCACGTATTCRAAAATTTGCGGATACGACCGTCCACGCGTATCCGTATTCGGAGCGTATTCGAAAATTTCCACTCTGGAGACCGTTTTCGAAAATTCAGGATACGGATAAAAAAATTTCCGGGCACGTGTGGACGCAACCCGTGTCCGCAAAAAAAAAAA